TATATATATACATACATACATACACACATATATATGTGTGTATGTATGTATGTATATATATATATGTGTGTGTATGTATGTATGTATATATATATATATAAAACCCGGATCTCCCAGATCTTCTTCATGATGGAGGCACTGCAGCCCACCACCTCGGGGGTCTTCTCAATAGTCATCCTCACCTGTTCTGCGCACACAGAGACACAGAGCAGGTTTTTAGTATTTTATCCAGATTTTTCCCAGCAGGGTCCAAACATGTGGCTTCCTGCAGGACCCTGTGTGAGGAGACACTGCTGACAGCTCAGGTTCAGTCAGTCTGTCTGCTGTCTGTCTGAGGGGCTGTAAAAACTAAAAGTCACTGCAGGTAACACAGAAATACTCACATCTTTACATCAACCATCCAGGAAGTTTTTTATTCATCAGAAGATCTTGTTTGAAAAATGAACATGTTTAATTCATCTTTAACATTTTTCTTGTTGGAGCTTTTGGTGGGAAACAAACTTTGTATTTTAAATATTTAAGGCTTGTTTGATTAAAACCAACCAACTGTACATAAATAAATATCCATCTGATTGCTAAAGCCGAACCTAAATTCAAAAGTTTGGCTCCTCAGAAACAAAATAAAAAGAAATAAGAATCATTTTAGATGTAAATATAATAAAGTTGTAGTTTGTTGTCACAGCTGTTTTGTTTGAAGCTGACCAGCAGAGGGCAGCAGAGAGCTGCTGCTGCGTCATCAGTTAATAACCTCAAAGATCGTCTATGACAAACAGGGTGATCACTACATTAAATGTTTATGCGTTTTATGTTTTACGCGTTTTCTTTATTTACACGTTTTATTTTGTTTAATAATAAACTCCAAACTTTACCTTAATACTTACTGCATGGTTATAGTGTTTTCTGTAACACTTGTAAAACCAGTAAAAACTACTTTAAATAAACGATCTTCGCTGCTTCGTCATCCTCCCGCTCCGGGCGCATCCATGTCGTCATCAGCGCGCGCCTCCACAGAAGCTCCGACTCGGAGCAGCAGAAGCAGAGATGAGTCGGTGTCCGGAGCGGGGCCGCCCGCCKAGGGGCGGCTGGTGGCGGCTCGCGGTGCTCCTGGTGTCCGTGTCCTCCCTGCCCGCGGTCACGGCCCTGCTGGAGGGTCTGTACTGCGGCACGGAGGTCTGCTACGACGTGCTCGGCGTCACCAGGGAGGCCTCCAAGGCGGAGATCGCCCGGGCTTACCGGCAGCTGGCCCGCCGGTACCACCCGGACCGCTACCGGCCCGAGGAGCCCGGAGACGAGGTGTCCGCCGAGAAGTTCCTGCTCATCGCCACCGCCTACGAGACGTTAAAGGTCGGTACCGAAGTCCTGGTGGGCTCCAGATCAACTTTAAATAAGTTCTGTAACTGTAGGACCACCTGGTTCAGATGTGGACTGTAGGACCACCTGGTTCAGGTGTGGACTGTAGGACCACCTGGTTCAGATGTGGACTGTAGGACCACCTGGTTCTAACTGTAGGACCACCTGGTTCAGGTGTGGACTTCAGGACCACCTGGTTCAGGTGTGGACTGTAGGACCACCTGGTTCTAACTGTAGGACCACCTGGTTCAGGTGTGGACTGTAGGACCACCTGGTTCAGTCACCATCAGATGCTGTTAGTTATTCAATCATCTGAACCAAAATCCAGAAACGGCACAAAAAAGCTGCAATTTGTTTGAAACAGCCGAAATTAGCTGAAAACAAGCTAAAATGCAGCTGAAAAAGCTGAAATTAGCAAATTAAAAAAAAGCTGAACTGAGCAGAAAGAATGGTCACCAAAATGTAAATATAGCTTGAAACTATTAAATTAGGAAAAAACAGCTAAATAGTAGCTAAAATTGCTTAAAAATCTTGAATTAGCGGAAAGAACAAAAAGTAGAAATTAGCAGAAGACTAGCAAAATGATAGCCAATGTATCATAAAGAAGCTAAAGTTAGCACAAGGAATTTAAAACAAATCTGAACCAGAASTAAAAACTAAAGTTCAGTAAAGATTTTGAAGAGTTGTTGGAAAAAAAAGCTCCATTCATTTTCACTGGGAAAAAGTGGCCGAAAAGGTGAAATAGCTTAAGAAGTATAAATAGCCGAAATACTAAAAGTCATAGTAGTATTGTCATAAATGAGCTGAACGTATTAATGGATGAATTGTTGAAATAGAACAAAAATTGTGTTTCGAGTTGTGTGTCGGAGAACGTACGGAAAAAAATAAAATAATAAAGAGAAACTGTTATTCTTCCCACAGTGAAACGTTGTGTTTTTGAGTTTTAAGCGGCTGTTTTTGTCTTTGCTCCGCCTCCAATAAGTGGTTTTGTCTTCCTGCAGGACGAGGACTCGCGGCGGGACTACGACTACATGCTGGACCACCCTGAGGAGTACTACCAGCACTACTACGCCTACTACCGCAGACGGCTCGCCCCCAAGGTCGACGTCAGGATCGTCATCCTCGTCACCATCTGTGCCATCTCCATCGTCCAGGTACGGCAGCGGTTTGTGGGTCGACACCGAGGGAAATGTACAGAACCGAGGGACGGGTCCGGACTTTTCTAACACTCTGCCTCCTTTTAGTACTACAGCTGGTTCAACAGCTACAACAAGGCCATCAACTTCCTGGTTACRGTCCCCAAGTACCGAATCCAGGCCACGGAGATCGCCAAGCAGCAGGGCCTCCTCAACCGCCCCAAGGAGAAGGGCAAGAACCGGCGCACCAAGGAGGAGATCCGGGAGCAGGAGGAGGAGGTGATCCGCGACATCATCAAGAACAAAATAGACATTAAAGGAGGCTACAAGAAGCCCAAGGTCTCAGACATCCTGCTGTGTCAGATCGTCCTCTTCCCCTACTACCTGACCCGGTACCTGGCCTGGTACGCCTCCTGGGTCTACCGCTTCACCGTCTGCAGGGAGGAGTACGGAGACGAGGAGAAGCTCTACATCATCAGGTCAGTGGGGTCTGAAAGTCGGGGGAGGAGGGTTGAAACRGTGGGGGTCTCACCTCGACCTCGTTGCTCCTCAGGAGGTTCATGAAGATGTCGCAGGCTCAGTTCGATGATCTGGATGAGGACACCAAACGGACCTTCCTGGAGAAACGGATCTGGATCAAAGARAACTACGAGGTACGGCTCATTCTGGAAACTCTCCACGGGAATAAACKTTAAAAAACTGAAGGTTGTTGTTTTAAAGAGGACCTGTTATGGTGGTCCTAAAACAAGTTAGGGTTCATCTGTGCAATAAAACATGTTAATAAAACATTAAATTATTTCACCTGGTCAGTTCTGCCTGTTCTGAGCTCCTTCAGAAGAGCTGTTTATGCAAGTAAGCTGCTGTTAGCTCCGCCCTCACAACCTTTTGTTTACATTAGCTCCGCCCTCGCAGCCTTTTGTTCACATTAGCTCCGCCCTCGCAACCTTTTGTTTACATTTTCTCCGCCCTTGCAACCTTTTGTTTACATTTTCTCCGCCCTTGCAACCTTTTGTTCACATTAGCTCCGCCCTCGCAACCTTTTGTTCACATTAGCTCCGCCCTCGCAACCTTTTGTTTACATTTTCTCCACCCTCGCAACCTTTTGTTTACATTAGCTCCGCCCTCCCAATCTTTTGTTTACATTTTCTCCGCCCTCGCAACCTTTTCTTTACATTAGCTCCGCCCTCGCAACCTTTTCTTTACATTAGCTCC